ATTTAGTTGTAGTTGTGATTTTTGTGATGTTTGTGATTAAATTTTGAGTTCTTTTATATTTTAAATATTTTGGCAATGAATTTTATCTTGGTTGATTTTAGTTTTGTTTTTTGTTTTAATTTTCGTTTTGTGGCTATTCTAATAGTTTTGGTTTTTATGCAAGGTGACCTCGTTGTTTAGCATGCAAGTTTGTATTTTGGTTATACATGCAGGTGAGTAAATACAGTAACGTACTAAAAAAAAGGTACGAGAAACCAAAAATGCAGATAAATAAATCACAATAAAAATATACCTGGATGGTCTTCCCGTCATCTCCAACTGAAACTCAAAATGGATGTGAGGGCATTTTATGTAAAGCGGGAAAAAAATAAGGTTCCTAGATTATAGCTTTCCTAGATTATATCTTGATAAGGTTCCTAGATTATAGCTTGGTGAGTCCTTATTGGTTTGATTAAGGATGATTTTATTAAGCAAAACATATCAAGTTTAGTAGACCTCCGAGGTTGTCAACATGTCAGGAGAAAAAGGCAGGTCCATGCTTTCCCCTCATGGCCTTGTGAAAAGTCTTGAGTTCATTTAAACTTATTATGTTGCTTAATAATTCATCCAGTAAATACATCTAGTGTTCAATGAACATCAATATTTCAATTATCCATAAGGGTAGGGTAATTATCATTTGTCATTTAATCTAAGAATTACGTGGGTGAAGACCCATTAAAGGGGCAAGTTAGTGTTATTAACAGACTTAGCCAATTTTGGTTTTAACTTGGGCTTGTAGTGTTTCAAAAATATTCAATTTTTATTCACTTTTCAAATCTTCATTTAACCAAATTTGATTTAGCTTAAGTCACCACCAAGCCTTCAAGATCCTGATGGATGTCTTAGTCATTTTGAAAGATTTTAAATTTTAAGTGACAATAATTCACCATCAAAACATTTGAATGTCACTTGAACACCTGATAGAGGTATTAAATTAGTGAGTTATTAACACCCAAAACTATATCCCTAAGTCTATGATCATTTTGATTTGGTAGACTTCCAAATTTTGATAACCTAGAAAAATTTCAAATTTATCTTTCAATTAAAAAAAAAATTGATTCCTACCAATTAATTCTTTGTGTTTCAATCATCCAAATATGTTAATTATGATCAAAGATTGCCCATTTCCCTTTCTCGAATTAAGCCTAAATTTTAATTAAGGCTAAATTTCTAAAATTACACTTTTGCCTCTAAGGCTATATCACTTCATAATTTATCAAATTTAATTCAAATGACTTTGGAATTTTTATTTTACCTCACTCATGGGTCAATTGAAACATAAAAGGAGAACATGTGATTTTTCAAATTTTAATTTAATTTATATAATTATTTATATGCAAGATTATGATTTTTCAATGAAAATTCCATAACTTGACCAAAGCAAAGCCTAATCACTTGAAATTTCTACGCGAGGTAGACCTGGACCCGAAAACCAATTGGACCAAATTTCATGATTTTTTGAGTTCCATTTGAATTATTAAAATTATTTTAATTTTTGGAGCATTAATTAATTATAAAATATTTTTTATGTGAAAAATTGAGTTTTATATTTTTATTAAATCTCTCTGGGTCAAGGAACCTAAAGAAACAAATTTTACATTTTTTTGATTTTTTTTTTGAATTATTAGAATTTTTAAGTGAAATATTAAGAAAAATTCATTTTTTTAGCCTTTAAAAATTATTTTAAGCTTTAAAATTCAATATCTTCACTTAGAATATTATGAAAAAAATTCCAATTGTTCATAAGTGCTTAAGAAAAAATTTAGAGCATTTCCTTAAATTTTACTAATTTTGTGATTTTTAGTAATTTTTATTTACTTAAATATTCAAAATAGGCTTAAAAATGAAGTTTTTTTTTTATTTACAATGTTATTTTTAAAGAAATTCCTCTAATCATAGAGAACTCCCAAAACCAATTCTTATGATTTTTTTTAGTTATATTTTAATTATTAAAAATCATTTTAATCAAAGTGACATTTAACTTAAAAAAACTAATTTGAGTTATCAAATGAGCTCCAAATATTTTGAAAATTTTATGAAGAGTTCTCTGAATTTAAATCACAGTGTAGAGTCAAAATCAAGTCATTTAGATATTTATTTTTCCCAAATTAATTTTCTTTGTGTTTTAGGATTTTGTGCAAATTATGTGTGTTATTAATGATTTAACTCATAAAAAAATTTCCAAAGGGTTCTCTGTTCACAATAAACCTTCCAAAAGTTTTTTGGATTTTTCTAAGCAATATAAAAATTATTATGATTAATTTATGCAAATAATAGACACAAACTTGAAAAATATGGATCTCTGATTTCTAATGTAGGGGCTCTCTATGAGGGGAGTTTGATGGGGCTTCTTCTCCTCTCACTATGGCGAAGGTGTGGGTGAGTTCAATTTAATTTTTGTGCACTGTGGAGGTGTGGAGAGTTCTGTCCTATCTCCGACAAGGATTTGAGCTCAAAAATTAAACTCTGGCAAGGGGAA